CTCCAGCTGGTCTCAAACTCGTGAGCTCAGGCAATTCACCCATCTTGGCCTCCCAAGTGCTGGGATTCAGGCATGAGCCACCACACCTGGCCTCAGAAAAACAAGGTTTTTTTTTCGTCTGTTTTTGTTTTGTTTTTTTAGAGACAGAGTCTTATTTTGTTGCCCTCAGTAGAGTGCGGTGGCATCACAGCTCACAGCAACCTCCAGCTCTTTGACTTAGGTGATTCTCTTGCCTTAGCCTTTTGAGTAGCTGGAACCATAGGCGCCCATCACAACACCCATCTATTTTTTGTTGCAGTTTGGCTGAGGCCAGGTTTGAACCCGCCACCCTTGGTGTATGGAGCCAGTGCCCTACTCACTGATCCACAGGCACCACCCAGAAAAACAAGTTTTTAAAGGCAGTCTGCTGTGTACCCACTTTGCAGCCATACAATTATTCTGACAAAACAGACTGAACTCTTTAGAAGGGCTAAGGGGCAAAAAATAATAGAGATTAAGGATTTCTAATTGAAGGCATTTAATAATTTTGTTTTATGTTAAAATATCCAAAATAGATTTAGAAATCTGCTTGTCTTCCTTTAATTATAGTATCATTGTTTTAAAAGATGGTAAATTCATTTCTCTTTCTGTCTCTTGAACAAAAATATAATCAAAAACGTTATAAATTGGCTTATAAAAGTTAGTCATTGAAGAGTTAGAAAGGTGTTTAATTTGGACTTCCTTTTTTTTTTTGCATTTTTTTGGTCAGGGCTGGGTTTGAACCCACCACCTCCATATGGGGCCGGTGCTTACCCTTTTGAGCCACAGGCACCACCCATGGACTTCTTAATAGTAGTTATAGCAATCAAACAGTACTACTCAAAGTGTGGTCTACAGACAGGCACTGCCCTGTGAAATGTTTTCTACAGGTCTGTGACAAGGAAAGTCAGAAATTAAGAGTGAGCATGTAGGCAACTCCCGTAGCTCAGTCAGTAGGGCGCTAGCCACATACGCCTAGGGTGGCGGGTTCAAACCTGGCCTGGGCCTGCTAAGCAACAATGACATCTGCAACCAAAAATAAATAAATAAATAAATAGTGGGGCACCCAGGGCCACAGCTTGAGACTGTCTCAAAAGAAAAGAGTGAGTATATAGAAACTTTAATAACACTTTGACACCCACCCATGTGTGTGGTCAGTGGCATCATCTTGAAAGGGTCTGAACTGGTTCAGGGTGGTCAACTGGAGAGCTACATAGCACAAAGGTTTGGATCCCACCTGTGCAGGAGGACCACGTATCACTCTGTGATAGATTGAAAATTTAAAAACTGGGCTCGGCACCTATAGCTCAAGGGGCTAGGCCACCAGCCACATACACCAGAGCTGGCAGGTTGAATCCAGCCCAGGCCTGCCTGACAACTACAACCAAAAAATAGCCAAGCATTGGGGCAGGCACCAGTAGTCCCAGCTACTTGGGAGGCTAAGGCAAGAGAATCACTTAACCCCAAGAGTTTGACGTTGCTGTGAGTTGTGATGCCACAGCACTCTACCAAGGGCAACATAATGGGACTCTGCCTCAAAAAAAAAAAAAAAAAGAAAGAAAAAATTTAAAAACTGGTCTTTTAGGGCTGTGCCTGTGGCTCAGTGGGTAGAGCACCAGCCCCATATGCCAAGGGTGGTGGGTTCAAACCCAGCCCCGGCCGAACTGCAACAACAACAAAAAATAGCCGGGCATTGTGGTGGGCGCCTATGATGCCAGCTACTTGGGAGATTGAGGCAAGAGAATTGCCTAAGCCCAAGAGCTGGAGGTTGCTGTGAGCTGTGACGCTACAGCACTCTACTGAGGGCAATAAAGTGAGACTCTGTCTCTACAAAAAAACCAAAAAACAAAAAAATCTGGTCTTTTACCTTGGGTAGTTTGAGAAATATCACACTAGATCAAAAGTTACTCATTGAAAGTTATCGGGGATCAGAGACACTATTTTTTTTTTTTTTT